ATTTCCAATGAGAAGTAAAATCAAGCTTGACTAAAGAATTTTATCAAACACTTAGTGTGTAGTCAAAATTTAAAATACTTGGTGTGCAATAAACCAAGCTTAATTCTCTTTGTGTTGAATTTGTAACAAATCAATTGCAATGGTTTTACAAAAATAGTTCTAAACACTTCAACACAACTATAATTTTCAACAATTCAAATTGAACACTAATCGTTCTTAAAATGTAGAGAGAGAGAGAGAGAGAGAGAGAGAGAGAGAGAGAGAACCAATATTTGTTTAGATAGTTTCCCAATTATCCTTGTTATGGGTATATCTGCCCTTAATTCGAAATCGAATTGAGGTATTGTAATTAACCTTCACAATATCAGTTTACAAAAGAAGTAGTAGAAATTCAAACCCCTTAAACCCTATGTTTGATCTTGACCCTAGCTCATTCTCTTCCATTGATCTTCGCAAGATCAAGTCACACAAGATCTTCAATATGATCCTCCAATTATCGCTTCTTTGACCAAACCACCGTTCTTCAAAGCTTTCAATCGATTGAATCCAAATTGCGAAATTTTTCCCCCAAGCATTTCAAATGATAATCCATTTACCGTTACTCCTTTGCAAGACCCCCATTCTTCAAAGCTTTCACTTGACTGAATTCAAATGCAAATACTTATGCAAAAACCTCCAAATTAACCCTTGATCTTGGAGTAAAAACCTAAAGGTTTTCTCAATGAAACCCCCAAAGAAAACCTCAACCCGATTCGATTACACAAGCCTAAATTGGACCTTATCAATTTTGTCTTGATAACAAACAACAAAAATGATTATGTATAGTTGTTTAATGCATACAAAGAAAGGTTGAAGATAATGATAATTCTTTGTATCTTCCAGGTTTCAATTGTTGAGAAATGATACATGAATGTGTATTTATATGTATGTGCGTGTGTAGAAAAGAATAGAGCAAAACATATTTTTAGCCAAAAATGCACATTTTGAAATTTGGTACAGAATGTATTGACTCTAAATTGGAATGAGTCAATACACGAGTTGAATGAGTCAATACGAAGCCAAATAAAGTCAACACATCACCAATTTGATTCGTTGTCGCGCACGGATTAAAAAGGAGTATTTTGGAAAAGTAGTAAAACGACAATGACTCAAGTCGTATCTCATGGATTCTTGTATTATTTCAACCAACTAAAAAAAGGTTTATGGGGGTTTTAAGGTTCGATTTATAAAATAGTGCAAATAAGTTATTAATAAGTGATTATAGAAATAAGTCAATTCCCTAAGCGGCTTCGATCTCTATTTGATTTAAATATTAAATGACAAGCACACTAAGATATTAAACAGATTGACACGAATTAAATAAACACGATATAGAGACGTGATTTAACGACTAAGCGACGTAAAAAGCGATTAAAAGTTAAGAATACAATCATACGAATTAAATCAAAATATTCTAAAAAAATAACAGATTAAGAATATGCAATTTCATATAATAGAATTGAAAGAGAAACTAAATTGAATTGATAGAATAAAAACCTCAAAGTGTAGGAAATGCGATTACAGTAGATCGACTCTAGATGATCAGTTCTTCATCGTAATCGTACAAAAGAAAAAAGCAAAAATGTCAATAGTGAAAAGAACGTCTGAACGTAGTATGGGTGCTACTAGGTATAAGGAAGCATAACAAAATCTAGTTCTAACCCAACTGGGTCGAAAAACATTAAAAAAAAACCCGGCCCAAAACTAAATATTCCTAAAGGTAGAATTTGGTTCATGACTTCAACGAATTATTCAAGCCTGCTACACTCCGAATCAGCTTCTTCGTGCAGCGTAAAAGTTGTAGCTCTTTCTCTTAACTTTCCAACGCCTGGTGGAAAGCGCAAATCTGATTCTCGTAGCTTCAGTTATGATTCGAACAGTGGACATGTATCAAATAACCGTTAAAGATGAAAATAAGCTGCGAAAATAGACTAACGACAAACAAAGACTTAATTATAAAAACATAGTAAAACCGTAAAATAAACAAAACAAACTAAGGAAATGCCTAAGTAAAAACATAAGAGAATTTGCATTAAAATGCACTGATCAAAGGCGGTAGGCAATTTATTAAAAAAAATGTTTCAGAATGAGTCGACTCCAAACACGGGAGAGTCAACCCATTAACTCAATATATCGACCCATTCCTTCAATGTATCTGCAGTGGCGTCTGCTTGAAAACACCTTTCAGATGGAGTCGACTCTAACCAAGAATGAGTCTACCTATTCGCAAGATGTATTGATCCATTCCTCATATGTATCGATACATTAGAGGCGGATTCAAATTATTTGAAAATCAACTCAGTATGTATCAACGCATACCAATGATGTATCAACCCATGTATGACTTTTCATGAAAAACTCATATTTTTGGCATGTGATGGCATATGTAATATAACTTTACATGTCCTATGATGATGATGATGCACTTCTAGACAAAGACTATAAGGTCCAACATACACAAAGAGTTAAGCTACCTAGCTTTGACATCATACAAAATCTATTAAGAGAATATTGCACTTAAAACAATAACAATATCAATAAAATCTTTAAACCTTCAACAACAACAACAACAACAACAATAATAACAACAACATTAAACTTTTTACTTAACACAACAATAACAACAAAATTAATAAAACCATTAAACCTTCAATATCAACAACAACAACAATAACGACAACAACAACAACAACAATAACGACAACAACGATAACAACGACAACAACAACAACGACAACCACAATAGCAACAACAATAGCAACAACAATAACAACAATAATAGCAACACCAACAATAATAATAATAACAACAACAACAACAACAACAGAAACAACAACAACAACAACAACATTAAACTTTTTACTTAACACAACAATAACAACAAAATTAATAAAACCATTAAACCTTCAATCTCAACAACAACAACAATAACAACAACAACAATAACCACAACAACAGCAACAACAACACATAACAACGACAACAACAACAACAACCACAATAGTAACAACAATAGCAACAACAACAAAAACAAAAATAGCAACGACAACAACAAAACAACAACAACAACACTAACAATAACAATAGCAACAACAACAACAATAATAATAACAACAACAACAATAACAGAAACAACAACAAAAACAACAACAACAACAACAACGGCAACGATGACAACAGCGACAACAACAAGAGCAACAACAATAATAATGACAACAACGAAAACAACCATAATAACAACAACAACCACGACGACGACGACAATGATGACGATGATGACGATAACAACAACAACGACAACAACAACAACATTAAACATTCAATCTAAACAACAATAATAACAACATTGGACCTTTTATTTAACACGACAACTAACATTACTAAGTTACATGCATAGAGAAAGCATTTATTTATCGAAATCATGATGAAGAAGACAAAGAAATGAGTTACGTTTGGGTTTAGTTTGAGTTTCAATTGTTGCTCCAAACGATTTTCCTTCTTTGAGTATTTTTTAGTTTCCTTCATAATTTGCTTTCATTGTTCCAGTTGGAGAAGAAATGATGGAGTTTTGAAACTTGTTTATGGAAAAAATTGTGTTTTTGAGTTTGGTTTATGAAAGAAATTGTGTTTTCGAATTTGGTTTAGTTGAGAAGATGAAAAATATTACTTCGTTCGTTTATGGAAGGTGAAGTTTCGAGAGAGAAAATCAAGTTCGTCTACATTTATTTGTATTTGTTAATGCAAAAGTGAAGAAAACTAGTGTTTTGTTATGGAAAAGGAAAATTGAGTTTTCCTATCGGTTGGGAGGCACAACCGATGGGATATCTATCACATTTCTCATTGGTTGCTTGCCCAACCTAGGGAATAGATAGTTTATTTTTATTTTTATTTTTAAAGTAATGTGTCATTTTGAAGAAAAAAAATTACATCGCTTGTTTTGCCAACCGAAGGAATTAGTAGTATTTTTTTAAAAATAAAATTAAAAAGTGTAGTTATTAGGAAACAAAGCATGTTCCTGCGAGACTTTTCAAATCGGTTGTTAGGCCAAACAAAAAAATAGATTATTTAATTTTAAATTTTTTTTTAAAATCTTCTTTCTCATCCGTTGCTAGGTCATGTGAGATAATATATTGTTTTATTTTTAATTTTAAAATAAGAGGCAATTTGAAAAGATTTTTTATCGATGGTCAACTAAGGGAATATATGATTTTCTTTTTTAATAAAATTAAAAAGTGCAGTTGAAGAGAATCAAAGCACGTCTTTGAAAGATTTTTTTCAACGGTTGAACACTCAACCGAGGGGATAAAATGTATTTTTTTTTTAACTTTAGAAAAATGTTTTATTAAAATAGATTTCACTTCGGTCAAATATCCAACCGAAGTGAAAACTTGTTTTAAAATTTATACTTTATAATAGTGATGTCAATTGAAATGCACTTGTGCCATCTAATGAAATTATAGCTGAACTTAACAAGAAAGAAAATGTGGAGTATGTGAATTCAAGAAAATCATAGTGTCACTAAGATATTGTTGCAATACTAGTCATGACTTGTGTCAACAAAATATTGGTCTTGTGATAAAACTCATAGAACAACCAAAGATATCACACCTAAAAAATGTCAAAAGGAGACTTGAGGTGTATGAAAGGCACCAATCATCATGTAATCATACTACCTAACAATGGCAATGCTAAAAAAGTTTTGAGGTGTGGGAAAGGCACCACTGATCATGGAATCCTACTACAATGTTGACAAATTGCTATTGTAAATGTTAATATTTATGATTCATGATACAATCAAATTTGATACAATTAGTTCACATTTGAATTTTCTCAATAACGATTTATTTTTTCTAAAAGCTTAAATCCTAATTAGGTAAATTATAAAATGTATAATAAGTCTTATAAATAACATAAATAAATAAAATCAAATAAATAAATAAAAACATACATTTCCAAATTCTCTATAAAATCTCAGCACCCTCAAAGCCATCACAATGAAACATAGGAACAATAGAGTTGAGATCCTCAATCATAGTATCACTGAAATCTTCATACTCAAAATAAGTTTGAATATCATCAGGAAATGCACATTGTGACAATTGATCAGACTCCAACGTTGTTGAAACATTGGATGTCATTGATGCTATTTCCACCATTTCCTTAAACTTAGATGATTGAAGAAGAAGCTCTAGGGCTGACGTGGCACTAGTTGGTCTAGGTTGAACCAATGTTGTTTCATCCATAGTAGTACTATTGAGTGATACTATTTCATTGTCTAAGGTAAATTCCAATTCTTCATTAGAGTTTGTGTCATTGGTACTATTGTTAGAGTTATTGTGACAAAGATTAATGTTGGACTTGTCATTGTTTTCACTTTTGTTGTTGTTGGGCTTAAGCCACTTAATATATCGGCTGAGATCGAAATTTGTAACCGCGTTAAGTCCACGATATTCGATAGCTGCCATGTCATAAGCGGTAGCTGCTTCTTCTTGGGTAGCTGCAAAATTGATTAATTCAACCTTGTATAAGTATTTTCACCAAAATAAACTCTTTCTGATTCGAGATATTGATATCTGCAATTGCGCGCAAAAGATATCTGAATTATATCAAAATAGTCCTAAGAATAATATTGAACTTACCATAAGTTCCAAGATAAAGATACTTATTGCCAAAAACTTTTCCAATCCTAGCCTCCCATCTTCCATTGTGATGATGTCTAGAACATTAATTTAAAACCAAATTCATTAAACTTTAAGTTAATTGATTCTTAATAAGTCCTATGAAAAGAGAACATGCTAAAATATATGAGCATAATATAATATACCTTGCAACACCTCTATATTTAGAAACTCCTCTAGAAAAACCACTGCTTTTCCTGCATATTTTTCAATATAAAAATGACATAAGCTAAAATTAATTTTAATTTGCAAAATTATTTTGGCTCATATATACCATAAAAAAAAACTTGTTTAATTAATATACCTTCTTAAGGATCCAATATACTCCTCTCTTGATTGAGTCTCCATTTCTGTAAGTTCTTTCTGATAGTTTGATAACTGTGATTTGAAGAAATTTTTTAATTTTCATTTTCTGAATTACAATTAATTAAACCAAAAAGGATGTTATAATAGAAAGTGCTTCTTAAAGTACCGGAAAATTAATAATCGTATCTTGACCCCAATATTTCAATGCTGCTAAATCATAAGCATGTGCTGCTGTTTCCTCATTATCATAAGCACCTGAAATTTCAACAATAATTGCTTAATTAATAAGCACTTTGGTCTCACTGTGATGATGATAATTAGTAATAATCAATTTTAGCATAAGTAAATACGTACCAAGGTAGACTGCAAGGATTGAAATGTCACATGCAAAAAAAATGAAAAAAATCAAAACATTAGCAAACTTTATCAAATATTAATCAATTAATGCTTTAAAACCAAAAAGTTTATGAAATAATTACCTTGTCTTCCTTTCTTGTTCTGAGACTCATTCCAACAATTCTTATCCCACAAATGAGCTTCATATCGACCAGTCCACCGGTGCCTGGTCGATATTTCAACGACAAACATTAGTATGTTAATCGTGAATTCAGTAACCATATCGATTGTGCTAATACTAACATTATACAAATTAATAACTACCTAGTGACTCCTCGGTAAATCGAGCTGCGTTGAGGCGGAGAAGTTCTGGGAACACTCTTCCTCGTCCGTTTCGCCTTTGTCGTAACGGTACTACTAGCAGTCACATCATTGCTAACATTGTCTTTCTGGATTTGCTTCTGCGATTTTTTCGCCATTGGACCGAAAATAAAGATGTGTATAGTGAAGAAAGAAGATATGTATATTTATATGAATTATAAATGGAAAAAGAAAAAAGAAAATGAACAAGATTTAAAAGGGATGGGGCAAGGAATGGGGCTAATGGTGCTGGCAGAAATGGGATATAGCCGGCTGAAAGATGGTTGTTTGTGGCCGTCTGTAAAATCGGCTCTATGTTAAATTCTTTCTGTATTGTCTTCACTTGGAATTTCTGTGATGTAGCTGTCAATAAGGTTTTATATGAAAGATTAATAACTTTATTCTCTGTCTTCACTTTTAAGTTTTAACCATTTTATTTGGATTTTTATAATGAATGGATTTGATCTTACCAGATTATTCATTCTAATCATTTTTAAAATGTGTACCTACCTATAAAGTTGTTCAACGAATTCCAAGTTATTTAATGGCCACTAAAATGGGTGCCATTGTATTTACTACCTATAGTTGATTACCTAAAGGAGTAACACACTTATTTTTATTTCTAAATTATAAATGTTTTTTTATGTTTAAGAGCACATAAAATTCTATTAAAAAACCGAGGCTTTAATATCAGGTTAAGAAATGTAGTTGGGTCTAACTCAATCCTACAAAACCGATTGGTAGAGTGAGGATTGCCTTCACTTATAAACACATGTTCATGTCATATATTGTTCGATGTGGGACTGATAACACATGATGTGTTAGTATGTATTTTAGACAATTTGAAGTGTCAACTGTCAACATGTCAACAGTGGCGCCCCGTATGTAGGTGTAACTACCTCATGTAGACGATTAAAGAGGATATGCTGTTTTAGTTTTAGGGACCATGTTCTTCTTCTCTACTATTTTTGAGCAATCTCCAAACTTCAATGTTTGTGGGGCCTAAGAAATTATGTCATGGGATCAATAATCACATTTACTACCTCTTACCTTACGGTGGAAAAAGTCAAAGAAAATATGTGAATTGTTTGGTATAATTGTAGAGATTAATCTTTCGAGACGGATAAAATCTCGAATAACAAAAGTTAGATTCATGAGTAAACACGCAATATGCATTTACCACCCAAAAATGAGATGCATTAATTAGTCAAGCTTGAGAAATTTGGCAAGCAAACCATGACTCATTTTTCAAACACAATCTTAATATTTACAAACTAAAGTAGGTTACCTAGATTACCTAATAACAGAAAACCGTTTTTCCTATCTCTATGAGTAAGGTCCCTTTGTAGTTATTACTATTAATTTATAATACATTGCGTACTTGACCATACAATGAAAAGTTATTATAGATTCTTAAACCTTTTACTGTTGAACTGATTAATTTCTGATGTGTTAGTATGTATTTTAGAAATGAACCTCTTTCTTTTTTTTATTTTATGGAACTAACAATCAACCTTAAAAAGCAGAGAATCCTAATGTTTGAACTTAGGACTCAGCCATTAGTTGGTGCATTGGTGGTTTGGAGTAAAATGATACCAGTGAGACTGTGACATCACAGGACTATGGAATGAAGGAAGGTACATAGCAGAACCAAACAAAATGACAGTGTTTGAATGATCATGATACTATTGAGAAAAGTGAATTTAATTAGTTTTTGTTGAGAGATACAATTTAAGGTAATTCGTTTATGCATATCAGTTATCCTAAGTTTCATATTGTAGTTGTAACATATAAGCATAGAATAGATAGTGTCACGCTCAGCATCTTGTAAGTTGCAGTGCAAAATAATGGACTCTTTTACTGCACTATCTTATATTGAAATGGTATATACCATAATATTCTAGTTTGGAAAAAAATGACAAAGTGTTCCATTTTTACCGCATGCTCGTCCACTCAAGTGGCGAGTTAATGCTGGTTGTTTTTTAATGTAGGTGTTCGCTCACTCAAGTGACGAGCAGGTGTTGGTTTCGTTTTTTTTTTATTTTTTATATTTATATTTCATATAAATCACTTATTTAATAATTTTAATATAAAAATCATATTATAAAATATATTATATTAATTTAATAATAAAATATTAATTAAAAATATATTATAATAATAAAATATTTTATGCTTTATTAATTTAATAATTAAATACTATTTAAAAATATATTATAATAATAAAATATTTTATGCTATATTAATTAAATATAATAATAAAATATATTAAACAGAAATACATGTTACATATAAATTTTATCAAAAATTGTCTCGAGTTTCACACCTAGTGGTCCTTTTATGTCGATATCCCCTGCCCACACGTTGATTTGCATTCGTTGTAGGTGATTGAGATGAGTCGGAAGACATATCTTGATCGTGATGTGTTGTAGGGGGGTACGCCTGCCTTGAAGGGGGTTCTGCTTGTGTTGAAGGTTGCTCAGCAAGAAGATCATCAATGTTAAAATCTGTCATTTGCGTCAGTTGATCCTCCGTCAGCAAAAAATATTGGAATGAATGTGATGGTTGTGGTGGTTGGGTAGGTTTCGAGTTGCGTTTGTTGGAGGGTTGGGTAGTAGACATCATCAGGCGTGAAGGTGGAGGTAGGTTGAGAGAATGAAGTGTTGAAGGTTTGATGTTGGAATTGAGGGTTTGACTAATCAAAGTTTGGCGGTGGAACTGGAGTGAACTGTAAGGGTGGTCGAAGGTTGGATTAGGGTTGATATTGTTGGTTGTAGTTGTAGTTGTAGTTTTTTGAAGGAGTGGATTGTAGAGAGTTTGGTGTTGGGATGAGGATGCATAATATATGTGTTGTTCGATGGTCTGTGTGCATTGGTATGTATGTTGAGTTGATGTAGATGCGTGCCCCCCAAATTGAGATGTGTAGTTTGGTTGCACATCCTGATGCATTGATGCGGCAGTTGGTTGTGTTGATGACGAACCTTGCATGCGAGGGTCGATCAAAAATTGGTCTGGAGCAATATGCACATAGGGAATGGCACGAAACCAAGTTAAATACTCTTGGTTTGGCTTGCGTTCACCAACTACAGCGTCCCCTTGCAAAATCAAATGTCTTTTATGTTTCCATTCTCTCACCTCCTCTTTGTTTAAGTCTCGCCAATGAACTTTTTGGGCTTTTCTCATTGTCATTGTGTGGTGTTCTCTTAGACACCTTGGCGGGAAAGGGATTTGTTGTTCAAATCTGAACTGCAGTTTTACCCTATCTGTTTGATACATTTCAACAATATAGAAACAGATAAGAAAAGTTGTAGCACTCCAGATCTGGCTATCTCTAAGATTGGGCACCAGGTATTTAATGTACGGCCTCCATATAAACTGCCACATATTGAAAAAAATTATAATACCATTAAGGAGTATATGCGACAACTAGGTTCTATGGTTTCAAACTTACATCTTTTTCTTGCATGTGGTCCAATGCGTTTCGATATCCTTGTAGATGAAAACGAGGATTAGCATCATAATTCATCCTCTTTGGGTCCATCTTGCATAAACAAAAAATATAAATATTGTTAGGCATAGTTGAATAACAAATATATATATATATATATATATATATATATATATATATATATATATATATATATATATATATATATATATATATATATATATATATATATATATATATATATATATATATATATATATATATATATATATATATATGCGTGTTTTAATCTAGTAATACCTTTGAATGTATGGATATGACAGTTGCAATGTACTAACAGGAGCAAACAATGGTATACGCGTGAATGCCCAAGAAGTGAGTAGAAGAACACAACCACTCATGCTCCTAACATCTTTGACTGTTGCCTTGCACATTTCTCTGTACGGTTTTGCAAGACATGCAGAACCCCAACTAAAGGTGTTGCATTTTTCTAGATCCCCTACGAAAAGAATCCAGGAAGAATGCAAAAGATTTTGACTCTTATCGGGAAACAAAATAGTAGCAATTACAAGTAAAATATAAACTTTAGCTTGTAAAATAGTATGTTCTTGTGTGGGGAAAAGTTATTTTACTTCATATAAATTTTCTAGCCACATAGTCCTAACAGAACCTCTGTTTTTATCCGCTTCTGTAGGTTCCACCCCTAAGTTCTCCATGTAAACATCATTTGTGACTTCGGTAGGACCGTTGATAGCTTTTCCATCAACTCGGAGACCAAGTAACATATTCACATCTTCTAACGTTATCGTGCATTCACCTGTTGGGAAATGAAACGTGTGTGTTTCTGGTCTCCATTCCTCTAATTGAGCTACAACTAGGCCGGAGTTGATTTTGAGACTATTTATTTTTGCGATATGAGCAAAACCTGCTATTTCTAGATACGGGATTATTCCCGCACTTGCTTGAATGGGAGCATGAGAATGCACTCGAAACCTTGCATTAGTCTGAAAAGAAATGAAATAATATTGAACCAAGCAATTATAAACATTATTCATGGAATAGTAGAGGAAAACTTACACTAGCTTGAATGTTTTGTTGTGTTCCACGGTGTTCATCACCCATCCACAACAAAGCCATTTTGATTGAGTGTAAAAATATTTGAAGAAATGCTTGAGTGTTTGTTGTTGCTAGAGTGTTTTATGCTAGAAGTAAAAATATTTGTAGAAAAAAGTTTGAGGTAAAACTGAATTTATAGATGAAGTAAAAATGTTAGGAAGTGTAAATGTGACTAGTAGAAGTGACATTGCATTGAGTTTTGCATGGCATTGATAATGGTTAATTGCATGGAATGCATGCAAGGCTACTACGTAGGTCTTACACAATGTACCTTGCATGGAAGATATTTTTCAGCACCATTCATGCACTCGCCACTTAGGTGGACGAGTTGCCTCATGACCAAGAGCATGCTCGTCCTTTGAGTGGGTGAGCAAGTACTATACAAGACCATGCTCGTCCTTTGAGTGGACGAGCTCAAGCCACCTTTTGTTCTTTGCATTTTATGTGTTATATATATATATATATATATATATATATATATATATATATATATATATATATATATATATATATATATATATATATATATATATATATATATATATATATATATAT